CTGGTGTGTGTGTGTGTAGCTGGTCAGCCTATGACAGTGTGTGTGTGTGTGTGTGTGTGTGTGTAGCTGGTCAGCCTATGACAGTGTGTGTGTGTGTGTGTGTGTGTGTGTGTGTGTGTGTGTAGCTGGTCAGCGTATGACATAGTGTGTATGTGGGCCCGTTTGTGTATGCGTGTGCTCAGCTTGTCCTTCCTTACTCTCTCTGGACGTGTGGCCTCCTGTGTGTCTAGGTGGATGTACTCGTTCCTGGTGTGTGTGTGTGTAGCTGGTCAGCCTATGACAGTGTGTGTATGTGGGCCCGTTTGTGTATGCGTGTTGATGATGGACAAGTGGTTTTTTCCTGCAGCCCGAGAGACCATGCACAAGCCCCCTCCCCAAAGTCACGTGCAGAGGGGCGCCACTCCCCTAAGGGTTGGGGGGAAGCTGAAATTGCAGCATTAAACCCCTTAGACGTGCATTTCAGGAGCCCCAAGCACCTCGATCCTCCGTCGCTGGATGTCACGTTTCCTGGGACACAAGGGAACTAAGGATAAGGGGTGAAGGACTTACACCCCCAAAGCCCCCCAAGACAGGCATGGAGAGGAGCAGTGGGGAGCCTGGCAGGACCCCAAGGTCTGCACTGAAAGCAATCGGAGCAGAAGTCTAGGGGGTTCAGATCCCCCCTCTTTTCTGTGCACCTTGTGACCTCTGACCCCCCGCCCCCATGACCCTGTCCGGGGCCCGGGATGCACTGGAGAGCGCGATCCCCAGCAGAATATCACGGGGAGGAGAGGGAGGGGACACCTCTCGGGCAGCAGGTAGCGTCCACCAGCGCCGGGTCCACCGTGACCTTGAGAAGGTCACGGTCACCCGGAGGCCCCTCTCCCGCCTGCAAAGCGCATGGGCGAAGTCTGGCTCCCGGCATGTCTCGGGGAAGCCGCCAAGGTGGAAGGAGAGGGACGTACGGGCGGGGGCGGCCAATGGGAGAGCGAGGCTGGTGCGTGAGGCGGGACTTCCGGCGCCTCGGAGGCGCGGCGAGCAGCGCGGGGCGGAGCTACAAGGGCGCGGCGACCAATGGGCTTGGCGGGCGGGGGCTGAGGGGGCGTGTCCTCGGCGACTTAGCGGCTGCGCGGTGGCCGCCCCGTCCTTTCGGTCCCGGCGGCGGCGGCGGCGGAGCCAGTGGCGCCTCCCTTTCCCGGCCTTCGAGCACCCAGTCCCGGCTGTCAGCCAGCTAGCTCCGCAGCGCTCTCCGCCACCATGACGGAACAGGCCATCTCGTTCGCCAAGGACTTCCTGGCGGGGGGCGTCGCCGCCGCCATCTCGAAAACGGCCGTGGCCCCGATCGAGCGGGTCAAGCTGCTTTTGCAGGTAAAAAGCGAGAAAAAGGGGGTGATCCCTCCCCACCGGGACCTGGAGCCGGGGCGCGCGGGGGGAACCCCGGGGGCTGGCGCGGCCACGTGCAGCGGGACCGGCGCCGGAAGTGCAAGGCCGCGACCGCTTTGTCCGCACACCGCTGACTTCCGGGGGCGGGGCCGGGGCGGGGCTTGTTGCGAGCAGGGGCGCGCATGCGCATTGGCGCGGCTGGCATGACAGGAGCATTTGACAGCTGTCAGATCGCGACCTGCAGAAGGTCACCGGCGCCAGCAAAAACTCTCTGACCCTCTGCTTTGTCCATCTCTACTCAGGTGGTGGAGTTCCCTTTAAAAAGTGCTATTTTAGATTAAAACATACGCTATTGACTGTCTGAATCGAGTTTTCTCTGGCATATTCATATAATTCTGGTGTCTCGGGGCAGTTTCTAGAATACAGTGTCCTGCGCAGTTTCTAGAATGGAAATCTAGGCTTAAAAAACGCGAACTCTGGCGCGCACCTCGCTATGACAGGCTTGCATGGATTTGCGGGGGGGTGGTTACTAGATTGGGATCCCAAGGGTTGCAAGTTCGAGCTCCCCCCCAGGTGCAGCGTAAGAAAGGCCTGGCTCTTACCTCAGCCTCGATGTGCTTTTGACGCACACGGAGGCGGCATGCACTTGGTGCAAGCTCATTCGGCTCTGGGGGTGCAAAATGCAAAGATGGGTGGTCCAACGCCACTGTGGGGTCCTTTGCAACCAAAGTCTGGCAACCTCTTTCCCCCACCACCACCAATTTTTTTTTAATAATTTTTATGAGCATTTACAGAGATTTTGGATGGGCAACCCCTTTCTGAGGTGCTTCTGGGGACTCTTAGTCTAACGCGTGCGGGGCTTAGGAAGAACTAGGATCAATACCATTGATTGATTGAACAGGGATTATGTGTATCAGGGAAGTCACAGCTCTTGATACAGATCTAGGGTTTTGCCTCCTTGAAAATGGGATTTGGGGCGAGGGCTGGGCAGGGAGGAAAAATACAACAATGAACGAATGGAAGTCCAAAGTCTGTAAACGTTCATTAAAATTAGTAAAAGAAAAATTAATTGAAAAGAAAATGGGATTCCTCTCCCAACAGTAACCCAGTATGTCTTAATTTTTTTTCTCCCAGTATAATTTTTATTTCTTTTTTTAAAAATTAATTTTCATAAACAGTTACAGAGATTTTGGATTTCCATTCATTCGTTGCCGCACTTTTCTTCCTGCCCACCCCTCCCCACCAGCTCACTCCCGTCTCCAAAAAAAAAAAAAAGAAAAAAATTCCTTCATTGGTATACAATTCCCCCACCCTGAGTACACTTTTCTATGCAACAATAAGACAGTATGTCTTAATTTCTATATGAGAATCCCAGCAGTGTTCGTTTTCTGGATATATATATATATATAACTCCGGGGGGGGGGGGGGGGGGGCTTCCAGAGGCCTCACTAGAACTTGTTCTTTATCTGCTAAGATCTCTCAGCTCTGAGCCGCCGTGAACTGGTCCTGGGCTGCCTGGCCTGTTTGTTAGGGAAGGTGGCAAACTTTTTCTACTTGTTGCTGGGCCCATGTACACAGCTTTAGTTTGCTTGGCTCCATAGTCAACAGTCTTGGCACCAGCAGCCAGGAAATTAAAAGGCGCATTGCCGTGGGAAAGTCTGCTGTTAGGGACCTCTCCAAAGTGCTGAAGAGCAATGGTGTCTCTCTGGAGACTAAGGTGCGTCTGATACAGGCCATGGTTTTTGCAATCACTTGTTATGCATCAGAGAGTTGGACAATGACCAAGGAGGATAGAAGGAGAATTGATGCCTTTGAGCTGTGGTGCTGGAGAAGAGTATTGAGAATACCATGGACTGCTAGGAAAACAAACAGATTCATCCTGGAAAGGGTTAAGCCGGGTGGCTCCTTGGAGGCAAGGATTCTGAGGCTCCGTCTAACTTACTTTGGACATGTTGTGAGGAGAGACCCTGTCCTTAGAGAGGGACATCATGCTGGGGAGGGTGGAGGGACAGTGAAGGAGAGGAAGGCCCTCTATGAGGTGGATTGATTCAGTGACTGGGATAATTGGGATGGGAGTGTCAGAGACAGTGCGATTGGCACAGGACAGAGCGGAGTTTAGGGCTGTTGTACATAGGGTCGCTATGAGTCGCAGGCGACTCGACGGCACATAACAACAACATGGGTGGCCTGGGCCTTGCCCTTCCAGCAGGGGTTATTATCTGCTTTTTTAGTCCGGCCGGCCCGTGAGCTGACTCCCCAGTGGGATTTTCTGAGGCACTAAATCTCCCAGGAGGAGGTGGCCCATATGTCTCTCCTGGACTGGCAGGTGGATTTGAACCGCATACCTTTGCGTTGGCAGTGCAGTTCCTTGGCGCTGAGTCAGCAGAGCTCCCTCAGAAGGGTCCACATTTCTGGGACAACGCAGGGCCGTCTCTGTGGAGTGACAGGCCTGGCCCTTGACCCAGGGGTAGCCGGATGACTGGAGTGTTAGCTGGCCGGCGTTGTTGTGTAGCCGCTGAGTTGGCGTAGAGAAGTCAGGGTTGATGAGAGCAACAGACGAGAGGACCCGGTGGGCGTCTGACGCAGGACGGTGCACTGTTATAGGCTTTCAGGGGTCAGCTTCACAGACTAGGCTTTTACCTGATGAAGTAAGAATATTTCTGCAATTAGCTGCAGTCCTTGGTCAGCACCGTCTGCTGGCCGCTGACCGACGGTCAGAGCCGGGGACACGCATGTCCCATAGGCGTGATTCCTGTGTAAACCCTCAGCTCAGACTCTTTCCTGTCTGTCTCTTCCAAAAGGAGGGTTGGCCGGCTTTTATCCCGGCTCCCTTCTGTGTCCGGCCGTTTCAGAGCCCACCGCCTTCGGTCAGGAGGAGAGAACAGACATTTGCTGCCCCTGAACCTGAGTGTGGCTGCATGTGTCGCCCCTGACCATCGTCCACTCCTGGCTGGGCGTGCATCTAAGACATCTGGGTCCATAGCACACACTCCGCCAAGGCTGCTTTGACCAGTTATCCCTGTTTTATTTCTTTAACCAAAACCAGATGGTCACGTGAGACACAGGGCAGCCTGCATGTTACAGAGGAGAGCCGCACACACAGGTTTCCAGAGCGGTGGTGTTTGTGGGGACACTCAGCTGGACTGTGTTTCCGTGGACCTCACGGCCTTGGGGCGTGTGGTCAAGAGGGGACAGTGCCTGGGGAAGGTGGAGGGTCAGTGACGGAAGACCGTTCATGAGATGGATGGCGATGGTGACCACAGCTGTAGGCTCAAGGGTGTCAGAGAGAGGACCGGGCAGTGGTCAGGTCTCTTGTTTGTAAGGTCACTAGGAGTGGGGAAGGATCGAGGGGAAAGCCCAAGAGGAGGGGCCCCCAGATGGGGCATGTGGACACGGTGAATCGTGAAAATTAACCTGCGGGGCGCTGACCACCTCCCCCGTCCATCTGTGTGTGTGTCCCCCCAGGTCCAGCACGCCAGCAAGCAGATCGCGGCGGACAAGCAGTACAAGGGCATCGTGGACTGCATCGTGCGCATCCCCCGCGAGCAGGGCATGCTGTCCTTCTGGAGGGGCAACCTGGCCAACGTCATCTGCTACTTCCCCACCCAGGCCCTCAACTTCGCCTTCAAGGACAAGTACAAGCAGGTGTTCCTGGGCGGTGTGGACAAGCACACCCAGTTCTGGCGCTACTTCGCCGGCAACCTGGCCTCGGGCGGCGCGGCTGGGGCCACCTCGCTCTGCTTCGTCTACCCGCTGGACTTCGCCCGCACCCGGCTGGCCGCCGACGTGGGCAAGTCGGGCACGGAGCGCGAGTTCAAGGGCCTGGGGGACTGCCTGGTCAAGATCAGCAAGTCGGACGGCATCCGCGGCCTCTACCAGGGCTTCAACGTGTCCGTCCAGGGCATCATCATCTACCGGGCGGCCTACTTCGGCGTCTACGACACGGCCAAAGGTCAGCCGGCCCCTGGGGCGCGGGGGGACGCCCTCCGTGCCCCTGACCACAGCGGGACACTCCCCCTTCTCCCTGCGTCCACCTTAACCCGTCTTTCCATCAGTCTGTCTCTATGTCCAAGGTGTCCGTCCCTGTGCGGTACTGACCCCTGCACTCAGGGCACGTGTGTGCAGCACAGCCCCGTTCACCACCTTCTCTGTCATCTGTCTTATCAGTTATTATATCAATGTAATTATTAGTTATCAAGTACCCTGTGGACCACAGATCAGGCCCCTGTCCTGTTCTCACCGTCTTTGACACGCTTCAGCCTGTGGCTGCGGCCACAATGTCCATCCACCTCATGGAGGCTTTTCCTCTCTCTCTCTCTCTGACCCCCCACCGTCCCCTGCACGATGTCCCTTTTGCAAGAAACAGCCCCTCTTAGCACTTAATGTGTTAAGGTGAATCTTCGCTGTTGATCTCTTCTTAAACGGTATCAGAAGCCCGGCTCTGAACGCCCCGGGCTCCCCTTGGCCGGACAGCGATCATTGATTTTGCATCCGTTTGGATGCTAGTATCGATTGATAGATCATTGAGTTCTAATTCCCTGTCTATGAACACCAGTCCTCCAGCCGTCCACTAGAACTTGGCGGGGGGGAACCCCATATTGGCAGGACCGTGCCGCTTCCCCGGCCACGCTGACCACCTCTCTCTCTTGAGCTGCCAGTAGATTTATATAAATTTATCAATATCAAAACAGACAGCCCCCTTCTCTCCCTCCTCCCCGTGACGTTTGATGCCTCTGTCACTGACGGCGGCCGTGGGAAATGAGCCGCCGTGTGTGTGTGGCCTCGGCTTGCGCGTCCCGGGCGATCCCCACCCCACCAGGCCGGCCCTCGGCCCCTGGACTTGGGGAGAAGCTGGTGTTCATCTGTCGACTCCTTTTCTAAAACTGATGAGTCCGTGGGATACGTGTCTGTCTCTGTGTCTGTGTCGCGTCTGCCTACCTGCCATCTCTCTGCCCAGCTTTGCCTACTTGTGTCAGAGATGGTTCGGACGCCCAGGCTAGGATGGGGTCCATGTGAGCTCCGTGCCGGCCGGCCACCTCCCACCGCGGGCCGCCCCGTGAGCTCACTGTGCATTTACCATCTGTCCCCGGCGGTCTGACCATCCAGCATTCATCTCTGTCTTACACCTCCAGTTCCCTGCTCGCTCTCTCTTGTCCCACGTGTCTCCGTCAAAGCCGCCCCTTCACAGGGTCCTGACCCCCCAGACCTTGACAATGAGCCCCGTATAGTGATGAGAGGGCTCGGGTCTGATTCTCGGGCTGCCCTGTGTCCACCCACCCTGTAGGGATCTGTCGCTGTGCTCTCTGTCCACCCTGCTCTCCTCTGTCTCTGGTGGTGCTGGGCGGTCACCTCTGGTCTGAGGTGGTGGGAGGAGGTCAGGGCAGCTCGGAGGTCAGTGCTGGTCTCGGGTGGTAGGGGCTGAGGTCAGCACTGGTCTGGGTGGTCACCTCTGGTCTGAGGTGGTGGGGGGTGAGGTAATCTCTGGTCTGAGTGGTGGGGGGTGAGGTCAGTGCCGGTCTCAGTTGGTGGTGGGGGGAGGTCAGCCCTCGTCTGGGTGGTGCTGGGCAGTCACCTCTGGTCTGCTCGTACCCTGCCGAGCACAGCGGGCCCGTGCCGGGTGCTGACCATTTGGGGGGTGTCGTCCCTGCAGGTATGCTCCCGGACCCCAAGAACACGCACATTGTGGTCAGCTGGATGATTGCGCAGACGGTCACTGCGGTGGCCGGAGTGGTGTCCTACCCGTTCGACACCGTGCGGAGAAGGATGATGATGCAGTCTGGCCGGAAAGGAGGTACCCACCGGGGGGCGGGGGGGCCCTGGGGTAACACGAGTGGGGGAGGGTAAAGACAGGGCTTCAGGTGCCATGGACGGAGGAACCTGACTGGGGGGCTCGATCTAGGCCTGGGTCGGTGGGTCGGGATGTGCCCAGAGAGAAGGGAACCCCACCCTCTCCATCTCCCCGTCCCCCCTCTGACCCTTAGTCCTCGTCTGACGTCCTGGCCCCTGCCTTCCTCTCCTCCCCCCTTGACCCCTTTCCCTCCCCCACCCCCAGAGGACGTCTCTGCCCCCCTTTCCACCGGCCCCGTTCTGATACCCCCCCTTCCTGGGCTGCTTCCCACCTGCAGAGGGAGGCAGGGTCTGTGGACACGTCGGTGTCCTCAGCTGGGCCACTGCTCTGTCCCTGCTGGCCCCTGACCGTACCACAAGGGGACCGTGGTCACAATGACGGTGGCCTCCTCTTTCGTCCCTCTCTTCTGCTGTCCTTGTCACCTCCCCCTGGCCCCACACTGACCACTCCCCTCTACCCACGGTGGACATAATGTAAAGGGCATAGTGGACTC